CATGGGCGTGGTCGCTCTCCTGGTCCTCCTCCTGGTCGGGCGTCCTCCGGGAGTGAGGGGGGTCGGGGGGTTTCGGAATCCCCCCTATGAGAAGCCCCGGGGACCCTATCACACCTCCACCCGCTCCACCTCCTCCTCCAGCTCCACCTCCTCCTCCACCGGCGCCCGAGTCATCGACGGGGCCGGAAGCTCGACTCGCTCCGTCCGCGCATCCCCGCCCTTCGACCCTGGGGAAGGAGGAGACAGTGAGGTTCTGCTGAAGGGGGAAGGGGGGGGAAGGGGGAAGGGGGGAGGGAAGGGTTGAGGGGGAAGGAGGAGACAGTGAGGTTCTGCTGAAGGGGGAAGGGGGGGGGAGGAAGGGGGGAAGGGGGGGAGGGGAAGGAGGAGACAGTGAGGTTCTGCTGAAGGGGGGGAAGGGGGGAAGGGGGGGGGGGAAGGGGAGGGGGAAGGAGGAGACAGTGAGGTTCTGCTGAAGGGGGGAAGGGGGGAAAGGGGGGAGGGGGAAGGAGGAGACAGTGAGGTTCTGCTGAAAGGGGGAAGGGGGGAAGGGGGGGAGGGAAGGGGCAAGGAGGAGACAGTGAGGTTCTGCTGAAGGGGGGAAGGGGGGAAGGGGGAAGGAAGGGGGGAAGGAGGAGACAGTGAGGTTCTGCTGAAGGGGGGGAAGGGGGGAAGGGGGGGAGGGAAGGAAGGACAGTGAGGTTCTGCTGAACTGAGGTTCTGCTGAAGGGGGGGGGGGGGGGGAGGGAAGGAGGAGGTGAGGTTCTGCTGAAGGGGGGATGAGGAGGAGACAGTGAGGTTCTGCTGAAGGGGGGAAGGGGGGAAGGAAGGGGAAGTGAGGGCTGAAGGGGGGGAAGGGGGGAAGGGGGGAAGGGAAGGAGGAGATGGAAAAAAGGTGAAAGGTTATGAGGGGAAATGAATAATGAATTAAAGGAATGAGAGAGAGAGAGAGGATGATGGAGGGAAGGAAAGGAAGGAAGGTGCGAAGAATGAAGATAAGCGAGGGAGAAGAATGAAGGAAGGAGATAAGTAAAGAAATGATAAAGAGTCATATGGAGGAGGGAGAGAAAAATAAATGATAAAGAGTCATAGGAAGGAGGGAGAGAAAAAGAAATGATAAAGAGTCATCGGAAGGAGGGAGAGAAAAAATGGATAAAGAAGATAATAAAGGAGAGAGACTAAGGTTCTGCAGACGGAGAAAAAGAGAAAGAGAGGTTCTAGAAGAAAGGAGGACGAAAGAAAATGAATAAAGGAAGTGAATAAAGAAGATAATGAAGGAGAGTGAGTGAGGGAAAGCAGGAATGGGAAAGAAAAGAGGAGATAGGAAAATGAATAAAAGAAATGAGAAGGAGAGGAACGAAGAAATGAAATGATAAAGAGGGAAAAGAGGAAAAGAAATGGATACAGGAAACGACGAAAACTGAAATGAAGGAAATGAATAAATAAAGAGAAGAATAAAGAAAGAAGAAAAATTAAAGGAAATGATAACGAGGGAAACGAAGAAAAGATATGAATAAAGAGAATGATAAAGAGGGAAAATAGTGAAAGAAGATGAAATAAAGGAAGTGATAAGGAAGGGAAATAATGAACGAGGCAATAAAGACGTAAATACATAGAAGATGATAAAGACCGCGAGAAAGGAGGGAGAAGAGGAAAGATTCTAAAACAAATAAGAATGAATAAACAGGATGATAAAGGAGGAGGAGGAAGGAAGGAGGAGATAAATTAAAAATAATAATAAAAAATGGAGATGCATAAAAGGGACAACAAAGAAATAAAGATAATAATAAAGAAAGGAAGAATAATAGAGAAAAAACAACAAAAAAGACGATAAAGAGGAGGAGGAGGAGGGGAAAATAAAAAAGGGAGATAGAGGTAATTTAAAAAGAGGGAGAACTAATTAAGAATTAATAAACGAATTTTTAAATATATATAAGAAATAGACACACATTAATCTGTAGAGACGAGATATCAAGAAAAATTATCATGTTTGATATTCTTAGACATAAATAAATGAATAAAGGGATGAATAAGCGAATAGATAAATGAAATGGATAAATAGATAAATGAAGAACCTTATATATAAAGAAAACAAACAAACAAATAAATAAATAAATACATTAATTGACAGACAGATAGACAAATAAACTGATAGGCAGATAGACAAATAAATACATAAGCTGATAGATAGTAAATAAGTAGGTAAATATATGAATAAACAAATAAATAAGTAAATAAATAAATTATTAAATTAAAACAAACAAACAAACAAATAGATAAAAAATAAAGGGATATAATTCCAAATCTTAAAGAAGAAAATAAGAAAAAGGAAAGAAAGAAAGAAAGAAAAAACTATCGCAGTAAAACGAAGAAAAAGAAGAAAAATAACAAATAGAAAATGAAAAAAAGGAAAAATGAAAGAAAAGAGAAACAAGAAGAAGAAAATAATTAAAGAAATGAGAAGAAAGAGAAAGATAACCTGTGATATCAAAAAAAGAATTAACAAGAACTAGATACAGATGTCAGTTAGATGTTGACATAGAAGACTGGGGAACCTACAGGAGATCTTTGATGTGGACACTATTATGAATACGCACACACTCACAGACCCACACACAAACACATACACACATGAGCTCTGTCTCTCTCTCTCTCTCTCTCTCTCTCACACACTCTCTCTATCTATCTATTTATCTCTCCCTCACACACTTAATCTCTCTCGCTCTCTCTCTCTACCTATCTATCTATCTATATCCCTCTCACTCTCTCTCAAACACACATATACACTGACACTGACATCTCCCTTTCTCTCTTTCTCTCTCTCACACACATATAAGCTCTCTTTCTCTCTCTCTCTCTCTCTCTCTCTCTCTCTCTCTCTCTCTCTCTCTCTCTCTCTCTCTCTCTCTCTCTCTCTCTCTCTTCTCTCTCAGCCACATACACACACACAAATGCACAGAAATTATCCCTGCCATAACAGTATTCTAAACATGACTAATAACACAATGAAACTACATCCTCATCTCTTATAAAAGAAAACGAATCTTGCCATAAATCCTTCTATAGGAGAAAAAGCTTGAAAAAGAAGGAAAGTTCTCGAATACAAAACACGAATCAGATGATATACACTTTGAGGTTTTACTTGGAGTAGAAAACACATTTATTGGAGTGGGAGTGACGCATTGCATATATATGTATGTACATATATATATATATATATATATATATATATATATATATATATATATATATATATATATATATTTTTTCCTTTTTTTCTTGCGCGGAGGGAAAGAAGGAGTTACCATAGCACTCCATGTGAAGAGGGGTGGGGTGGGGGGGGGGGAGGTGGGGACTATTCACGGGAGAGAAAAAACCGCTTCCGAAACCTCATTTCATCCCCTCCTCATGGCCGCTCGCGAAGTCAGCTGATGTCAGAGGAAGGAAGACGGGCGGTGGCGGAGGAGGAGCCAGCCTCGCCGAGGAGTGACCCGAAACCGGTGAGCGAATGTTCCCCCCCCCCCCCCCCCCCTCCCCCCTCCTCCCCTCCCCCCTCGAACCCACACTTTCACAAATAACCGAAGAAAAAAAAAAAAAAATCACGTTCATAAGGCAAACCATGCGGTACCTCCCTCACTGTACCGTGGGTTCTCTCATATTTTCCCCTTCCTCATATATCTACCATGCACATGCAGTCTCTCTTTTTCCTTCTCCCCTCATGGCAACCACTTTCTCCCCCCTTCCTTCTTTCTCTTCGTCTTTTTTCCCTCATTATCCTTCATTTCCGTTTCTCCTCATTCCTCTCTCCCTCACACTACCGAATCCTCACCCTCATAGGTTCTCCAACCCCCGTCTCCCTCACTCATACTCCCTCACACAGCCTCACACACAGCAGGGCCAGAATCCTCACCACCTCATCAGAAATTCCAAAAGATTTTCGTTAGTTAAAAAGAAGAAAAAAAGTAAAAAAAAAAAAAAAAAAAAAAAAAAGAAAGAAAAATAAACCTTCAAAGGGTAATATTAATTCCTCTACTTTTTGAACGAGTTGATTGACTTTATAATCTGGATCAGTGTGGATCTATAACCTCGTTAACTGTGGATTTATAATCCCTTGAGTTATTGTGGATTTATAAAAAAAAAAATGGGTGGATGTCGATTTAAAATAAATTGGATTACTGTGGCCTTATAATGATGTTAATTACTGTTGACTTAATGATAATCTTAGATCTATAATGATATGAATTACTGTGGATAAAAAAAAATAATAATAATGATAAAAAAAAGTAAGAAAGAAAGAAAAGAAAAAATCTGGATTACGGCGGATTTATAATTTTTTGGATTACTGTGGCTCCAGAAGGATTAGGATAACTTTAGCAATTAGAATGGCTTGGATATGGATAAATAACATCATTAGTACGAAATGGATTTCTCGCATCATACCTAAAAGTAAGATTAATGAAAAAAAAACGTATTCTATGTCTATATCTATCAATCTATCTGTTTATCTATCCAACTACCTATCTATACTATCCTGATAAGTATGTGTACATGAACACACTTGCCAGCAGGAATTATTAAGATGACAGTTTATCAACATGAGCAATTTCAACAATACTGTCTGCAACAGGATTGTCATCACCATCAACACCATCACAGCCATCATTATCACTGAGTATCCTCATCATAATCATTGCTAATCACCATCAGTGTGCTGTGTAGTGCAGCGGTTAGCTTGTAGGTCTAGCAATCTTGCTGACCTGCGTTCGATCCCGCGCTCTGCCAGTGGATGGCAACCCGGGCCATTCCTTGCACATAGGGGGTAATTTAGAAGCAAAATAAAACAGACAGTGTGATGTCACAGCAAAGAATATCTACTGTAACAAGTGAAATTAAGACTAAATCTTTAAACTTTTTAGTCATTATCATAATCAACAAAGTCATATTTAAAACGATTTTACTTTCAAGACTGTACTAGTAACTGAAGTAATGGTGATAATAATAATGATGGTGATAATGACAATAATAACAAGTATGACAATAATGATGATGATGATGATAATAATATTGATAATAATAATAATGAAATGAACAACATCAACAATCATAAAATGTATAATTATAATAATAATGATAATGATAATAATAATAGTGATAATAAAGAAATTAGTAATAATAATACAACCAATGATAATGATGATGATGATGACAATGATAACGATAGTAATAATAA